ATTAGTACCTGAGTTATACTAAAAAAGTATTGTAGCAGGGGTCTGTTAGCAAAGAATAATCTGCGTAGACTGCACAGTTGTCTTTTCTGCTCTAACCCAATCTTTCCCTAAGTAAACTGACCTTGAGGAAATTCTGTTATATTCTACCGAGTTGCTTGCTTCGTTTTTTGGTCTGAAGATGCCTTCTCCTTACAGTGGCCATTACACCTTTGCTCTACCATCGGACAACATCATAGTCAAATGATGTATATCCCTCATTTTCCCAAAACCTCTTGGAAACAATGATTGCACTGTACACAGTCAACCTAAATGAGAGTGATATAACAGATCAGACAGAACAGGTCCATTGTCTTGAAGAAAAAATAACCAGGACCCAAGTGCAACCTCGCCCTCCATCCCACCTTCCTGTCTCACCCTTCCAGTTTCTCATCTGAACAAGAAGTCTGGAAGGCATTCCTAGAAGATTTACCCCAACCATTTCTCAGAACATAAAGACTAAAAAGAGCAGATGTTCTTTCTCTGCTCTGTCCATGGTCAGTGCTTCTCATAACGTCCCTCATCTAATCCATCATGACCCCGCCCCAGCTAAAAGTACAGTAGATGACAGCGAGCTATGCATACGATGTCTGTGGAATCATATACACACTTTCTGTTTGCTACATACCATTAGTCTGGCCATCCACTGAAATTAACCAAGAGTTACCTCACTGCCTCTCCCCTGGAGTCATCAGGCTAGAAGCTAATGAAGAAAAAGATCTAACGATAGTTAAATGACCACAGCCGGCAAAAGACTGCAGCAGAAAATATTTATCTTGGGGCTCTTTTGCCTACTCTTCAGCCATGCCTACTCTTCAGCCATGCCTACTCTTCTTCAGCCATGCCTACTCTTCAGCCATGCCTACTCTTCAGCCATGCCTACTCTTCTTCAGCCATGCCTACTCTTCAGCCATGCCTACTCTTCAGCCATGCCTACTCTTCTTCAGCCATGCCTACTCTTCAAGAAAAAGGCAGAGCCTTTATGCTACCTACTGACTGTCTCCAGGTTCAAGCAGTCATTACATCTCATGCAGACCACTGCAGTGTCCTCCTTAGTGCCCATCCTGACCCACTCCAACACTTCCCACACTCCCATGCAGGTGAATTTTCTGAAAATGCAAGTCTGATCCCATTCCACTTTCATTTGTAATTCTCTAATCAGACGTATTACCCTATCGTGCATTATAGTTGTGTGTGCATAAGTCATACCTCCCCCAGTAAACTGAGAAGTCATTCGAGGGCCCAAATTATCTTATTCATATTAAGCAACCTTCACTCCTTCCTTCAAAAAACACATAATGAAAACATGTTATGTACCAGGCACTACACTAGCCACTTGACAGAAAAGTTAGGCCATTCCCTTCCATTTGTTTAAAATCATTGGCAGAGGTAAGGAAGTTGGAAGGCTGTAGCCATATAAACAGAAAACTGTAATATATACTAAATTATTTACATATTATAATATAATTGGAACATATAATATGTTAGAACTGCATAGACATTAGTTCATATAGAATCACATAAAGGGGCTCCTTCTAAACCCTTGAGCAGACCAGGAAAGGCTTCTCAGAAAAGAAATGTCTAAACCAATACCTGAAGCATAAGCAGGTGTGTATGAAAAGCCAGGAACAGCAGGCAGTCCATTAACACTGCACGTAGTGGCAAAGGACAAGGCTTGAGAAACATACAGGGACCAGGTCATGAAAGGGCTTAAGCCCCATTAAAGTGTTTGAAGTTTTATCTTGAAGGAATTTAATCGTTTTACTAAGATGAGTGATATGGTGAGATTTGTACTTTAAAATGACCACTCTAATTAGAGTACAGTAGTCATTTAAAACGTTTGTTGAACACATAAATGGTTGTGTCATTAGCATAATAAAAACATTTCAGTTATTCAAAAAGAGAGAAAACAGCAGATCAGTGCCGGCTGTGATACTCTGGAAAGGTTTTATGGAGGAGTAGCGGCAAAGGGTAACTGGGCCATTAAAATTGTAGGATTTCGATAGGGCAATTCAAGGAAAAGAAGGACATTCCAGTTGGAAACAGGAAGGGTGCAGGAAGTGGTTGAGCAAAATATAAGGTGAATCCACAGAAAAGTGAATAGCTTTGTTTAGTGAGTGCTGGGTCTGCAGAGGTACATTGACTTCTCAGGGTCAACCTTGAGGTGCAGGGCCTTGAGTGCCAGGCTTAAAACTTGGACTCACAAGCAGAGGAGTCTTCCAAGGAGAGAGGCATACTCCACGTATTGCTTTAGGAAGGTGGAAAATGAATTGAAAGAGGTTTTTACAAACAATGTTCAGGCAAGCAGGTGATAGGAACGTGAAAAAGAAAAAATGATGCAGGAGAAATGCCGCAGATTGCATATCAAAAGAAAAAAGAGAGCTGAGAGAGTGAAGCCAAGTGTGAGGTTGAGTGATGGAGTGAAACAAAGGTTGCCTCAGAGGCCCACCTACCACACCCAGTCCCACTTCTCCAGCACCCCAATAACCCTCCCTGGGAGACTGATTTATTTGAATCACTTTAGTGTGATAATTTGGAGAATGGAAGTCTTCTTTTTTATCAACCTGTTTAATCAGTGTCAACAACAAGACCTTGGAGGTGAGGTGTTTGGAAGAGAAGATGAAAAGAACATTTGGAGAATGAGAAAGGAACATCTGAATAAACAAGCTCTGGGGCCATCTTCAACCCCCCTAAATTAATCACCCAAAGCATGCATTCAGTTGGGACTTCTCTGTGTATTCCAGGAACCCCCTGACACAGATCAGACTCATAACTGGTCACCTCCCAGACCCAATGAACTGAAGAGCTTCCTCCTCTCACAGTGTCCCTCACCTCTTTTACCTGATCTCAGTATCCATGAAGCAAAACAATAAAAACTAAGTAGTTCTATTGTCACCAGTTTGAACTTCAGTCACTTTAGTCTCCCAAAGCAACAAGTTAACTTAACAGTACTTAGGAATACTGAAAAAATATTAGAAAACCTCCCAAATTGTCTAGCAAACCTCCAGAGTACAGTAGTCTATGACCTGAGGTAAGCTCAACTACGAAATATCACAGCCCTCATCCAAAGGAAAATGTCATCTGCAAATAGATCCCATAGAAGATTCAATAAAATAGAAATAAGTTCTATTTTCTCGGCCTCTTTCAAAGTCAGAAAATCAAGCTTCTCACAATAGTCCCATACATTATCTATTCTACTTTGTTACAGGTGAGAAGACTCAAGTTGCATTCTTCAAGGTATGCAGGTATTAAGGGCCCTAAATTTTGCTCCAAATTGGATAGTTTCCTGCTGGAGCAGTTATAAATGCCGACAAATTAATAGATTCTTCTGGAATCTTTTTGGCTTGTCATCATTTTGTTTGATGATTGTTGTTTTCATCAGGACTTTTTAGAACATCAAACTGTTATTTGTTAGGCCTGATTAAGTGATAAATTTTCCTTGGCTTCCCTTTGTTTCCAAAGTAATTATGGGCTTCTTCCCGTCTCTTTTTGATGCCCACAAAGGCCATAATGAGGGTAGATATGCAAATGTGAGAATGAGAAACAAAGTGTCAACACAAGGCACCCTACTTACTTGCAAACTGGGAATCCTATTGCTAATACACTAAACCAATTTTTTAAAATAATTTAGACATATTTTCCAGTCTTTGCCAAGAGGCGGTTCAGACGTCCTTTGTCTCTTCATAATTCATCAACACATCCAGACACTTCGAGATAAGGAGATGATTTAAGTCAAAACAATGTGTGGGCCACAGATACGCAGCTGCAAGTTCCCAAGCTTCTCCCCAAGCATGTGACCACTCCTACCCCCACCTAGAAATACCTTAGTCAGCTCAGCTGTTTCCGTGCTCGGAGAGACTACAACTAGATGGAACATACTTAAGAAGTTGTTTGCTTTATTTACTTTTCCAAATATTAATAAAATATGTGGGAATTTCAGTTTTGCTAACATATGTCTTAGACATGAAATCAAATGTTTAATCAAACCCTGACAGAGCCAGAACTATAGTTTATTAAGGAACACGCGTTAGTGAACCACAGAACCCTTCTAGTTCAAAGGGGGGTTCCCCGCCGACACCCCCGGCGTCAGAAAGCTCTTCTTCTTGAGTACCGTGTGTTTTAATCGAGGTGGGATATTGCAAACAAAAAGAATGCCCGCCTAGCTATCCTGTCGGTAGCAAGGAGTTCATGTGATTCAAGTTTCCCTGACTGTAATCTAAGGTCAGACACCTTAGGAAACGCTCCGTTTTCAAGAGTGCGGTAATAGTGCGCAGCGTTCCCCACACATCTTGGACCGCAAACAGTCTTTGTAGCATAAACTAACATGGGCCCCAAGTGAGGAGCAATATGAAAAAGACTGCATAATACTGTTCATCCGTTCTCTCCCCAGCAAGGGCTGAAGGGGGGCAGGAAAAAATCAAGGCACTTGAGTTAGCACTTTTGAAAAGTGGGGAGGAGTCTGGGGAGGGTGCAGAAAGCAGTGCACTTTGCCTGCTTCACAATTTTAAGAAATAATCATCGAACCTGTGTTATGTCAATAGGTAACCGTCTAGAATGTCATCCGTTTTGAAATTTACTAACGGGCACCACCTTAACGGCTCCCTGGGCGATAAGCCCCTTCAGGTTTACAGGCCTCGTGCGACGCCCGCAGGACAGGCGGGACCGCGCGACAGGCGGGCAGCTGGCCCCCAGCGGGCGGCTGGGAGTAAGCGCCGGGCGAGTTGAAGCAAGCCCGTCCTCCCTGGAGAAGCATCCTCGTCAGGTGCTCTCCCGCCTTAAACCACTTGGTAAACTTTTCTATAAAATCTCACAGTCCCAGCTCATCAGCTGCAATTTCTGGCCGGCTCAGCCCCGCAACCCCGGCCAGGGAGCCGGGTCTGGGGGCAAGCAGCGCCCCCGCCCCCGCCTCCTGCGTGCAGAAACGTCAGGACACGCTCTCTCCCGCCCTTTCCCACGCGCCCTACCTGGTTGAAGTGCAGCTGCGCCGGCCGCGGGCCGCCCTCCGCGCCGCCG